CATGCCTCTGTGGCTCTGTGGGAAGAATGAAGAATCGCTGGCTTTTCTTTTTCTTTGATTTTTTTGAGAAAATTGTTTGGTGAGTGGACAAGGATCGCTTGGCTGGGTGAGCCTCTCGTGCGTGCGTGCGCCCTAGTGGACATAAGTGGTCTGAAGTCTGAAGGTGCAAGGGAACGAAGCCAGTGGGCTGTTGCTGCCTACCTGCTTGCTGAAATAGGCGTATTGGGCCTGTAGAATAGTGTATTTGTCATATATGCCTATATATAGGAAAAAAACTGCAGAAATTTTTTGGTGTACATCTGTACACCCATGCCCCATATTGGATCCGCCCCTGCTGGCAAGAAGGAAAAACAAAACGAGACGGCGCCAGTATGGCTCATTAGAACGTTTCATGTATTCGAGAAAAAAATGACCGTTTCATGGATGGATAGGTAGGTCCTGGGCCGGGTGCTCCTAAGCAGCGCCTTCAGCGCCGCGAATGGGGGAATTGGCGCTCACAGCAGTGCCGCGTGGTCCGGCCCACAAATGCGTCATACACGCGAATTCTATTCTGTAGCGCAAAAATTCAATGAAAAGAACCCGTCCTACAGAAATCGAACTAGCACCATTACAGTATTGTACTCCCTCCGTCCCAAAATATAAGAACGTTTTTGACACTAATGTAGTGTAAAAAAATGTTCTTATATTATGGGACAAAGGGAGTATGTGTTAGGCTACCCACCAGACCTACTTACCTCTAGTAATTGAATTCATCGTGAGTATCATAAGAACTATTGTAGCCGTGCTATTTATTGCACAGAATACTGTAAGTTTCACTTTATACTACCTTAGATTTTCGAATTTCTTGAATATAGTTTGGGAAAACATGATTTGTTTTGGAAAAATGTGAACGACATTTGTAAGTTCTCAGATTTCAAAATAAGTTCACAAACATGTACAAAAAGTCCGTCTATTAAAAAAAAGATCACAAAATCAAGAAGTTCATGTATATCAAAAAACTCCACGAATTAAAAAAAGAATTTTAAAAAGTTC